CAGTCACTCAGAGAATTTAGATATACTCCTGAAAGACATTTTCTGTCTAACATCAAGTTATTTGCAGATATTATCTTCCCATCCTTTGGGAAATCAGTATACTTTGTTGTTTTATATGTATAGTAATGTATTGGAACTCACAATTTTCTTCATGTAGTCAATACTTATATCACTTGGTTTCAAGCATAACTCTTCTACAATTAAGATTAAATAAATGTATAAAAATTGAATTTCTTTATCAGTTACACAGTAGTTTGACTAGCAATTAGCAAACACTTTGAGTGAATGCTAGATGTACTAATTCCTATTCAGAGGTTTGAGGGTTTCAAAGTCTTCCTTTGTATTGCCCAATGCTTTAAATTTCATTTATAATGCTGAAACACCTTTTTAATAAAAAGTAAAAGGGAATAAAACTGGTGTATTGTAATGTGGGAGTTCTTTGTAGGTACTTGATCAATCAGCACCAAACTTGACACAGTGATACAGGATGACACAAAGGTAATGGGGAGGGGGGGTGTATAGCACCAGCCTATGACATAATCGTCATCAGACTATAGCTCCCCACCAACAGGAGGGGGACACATCCTCTATGCACAGTAATACCTCTAGCATTTGAACAAAAGCTCATTCTTTCCTCAATACTGCTTTGTTCAGACATGTTTTTCTTAGGAATTAATGCTATTCTTGCACTTATTATCCTAAGCTTTTGTTAACATTTGTAGTATATTCTTTCTTTTGTTAATTTTATTGATAATGGGAAAGAATGATAAATTTGAAACGTTTCAGTTAGAGCTTTGATTCAGATTATCTTCAATATGATTTTTCTTTTAATCAAATTTTGGGACATGTGTTCCATTATCTGTAATTAGGTTTCTTTGAAAGCACTATTTCCTGTTGTTTTAACTCAACATACATCTTTCATTAAGTATTTTTCAATCTTGTTATTAGGCCTATGAAACCATTGATATACCAAACCAATTATATTTCTAAAAAAGTCTCATGGATCATATGGATTACAAATTCATATTTCCACAATTCTGACACCTCCGGAGATATTTATTTTCCTCAACAGAAGTAACTATTACTGTAACAGTGACTTAAAGTACTCTGACAGTCAGATTTGTTACTGCCGTTGTGCACCAAATGGTTAGTTTCATTCTGATCTTGGATCCAGGATCCCCAATCTCCTGCTTCTGTTACTTCAGCAAAAATTGTCCCATCTTTTAATGTGTTTCACCAATGTTTTCTCCACACACGCTTTTGCTTTAAGTTCCCTAATTCCCAATTAGGATCAGATAATCCCACCTTCATCCTTCACCGTTTGCGAGATAATAGCTGGTTGAACAATCTTACATTCCACTCACCTATGTGACACAAGAAAAATATTCTTTTGACAATATATTTTGCTCTATCACCTCTACTGAGCAAAAGCATATTCTCTGCTAGAGACTGGTGTGGTTTCCTAATGAGTGATTCTCCCACTAGGCTACTCCCCCATATGGGGGAATATGCTCTATGAGTTTCCCTTTCTTATGATATGCTTTTAGAAAATAGCCATATTTGTAATTTCTTTATCTATTGGCCCCTCTGCCACTATTGCAATGTGTGATTCTATTTGTAAAGTTTACATTTTCATTTCCTGAAAACATATTTCAGATCTTTCCTCACTTTTCTGCACAACCTCTCACCCTTCCTCCTAACTTCTTATGTACTTATTTTGCCTTGTCAGAGATGAGCCTATGCTCAAATGCTCATCAGGATTACTGATCATGGAAGATACATCACCCTGCTACTGACAGAGGGCTATAGTTTAATGATGATAATGTCATAGGCTGGTGAAACACTTCTATTTATAGATTGTATCTATAGAAATATTAAATACAAGATTGAAGAGGTTATAATTTCATTGTATAGATCACTGGTTATGCGATATTTGGAGTAGTGCATTCAATCTTCAGTGTCATACCTTAGGAAGAACATTAAATTGTTGGAAAGGGTTCAAAGGAGGACCACTAAGATGAAACCTAGGATGGAAAGATTGTTATATAAAAACAGGTTAAAATCTCTTAAATTGTTTTCTCTTGAAAAACAATAAGAAGAAATATAGGAGATCTGACTGAGGTGCTTAAGATTGTTAAGGGAATAGACTGTGTGAATGCATCACTTTCTTTTCATACTTAATGGTGGGATACAAATACAAATTTTGGCAGGGTAGGAGTCATCAGCTAGAACAGCTTCATTTTTCTAACAGGGTGGTTAGCCTTTGGTTTCCTTCAGGTGTGGTGGATGCAGTTAATTTAAACGAGTGTAAGGGAAGGTTTGATAAATACTTGAATGATAAGGGCTGGCTTTGAGTGTTTTAATTTCATTTGTAAAGTTTAGTTTTGTAGATGGGATGGTGTTGTTGGACAATTAGGTCCCTTATTGTCCTCTGATTATATGTTTGTATTATTAGAATAATACAGATCTAAATGGCAACGAAAAAAATAAAGTAAAAGATGAGATAGCATTAACAAATGGTATGCCTATATTGTAAAAGACCTTAAAGCAAAAGAGAATCTCTGGGTAGAATTGAACTAAATATAAAATATGCTAAAGCAAGGAGTTACAGAGAACAATGGTAGTCCTTATGCTGTACGAGTAGTCTTAGTTCCTAAAATAAATGACAAATTAAAGTTCTCTGTTAATTTTAATAGTCAATAAATTGTGATTCAAGACACTTACCCATTATCAAATTTATAAGAAACCATTTGGCAGGTTAGATCAGAGTAAATATTTTCATACATTGGCTTATAAAGTGGTTAATTAAAAGATGATACATATGCAAAATTTAAATAAATGACTACTTTTATACTACTTTCAAAGAAGCACCAGTTTAATATTAAACCATTTGTTTTATGTACTGCTCCTATTAGACGCTGATGGATGTAGTTTATCAGGTCTAAAAGACTGAATGCTTGTTATACAGTTGGCAATATTTTATGCTGTAGCTTTTGGTTATTTATATCACTAGAAAGCTTTTCATGTTTTTTGCTATGTATTTTAAACCTATCACAGGTGCCAAGTGCATGCCTGCATAAGAAATTTCAAAATTGAAGTAAAAATAATAATTCTAACTGTATTTCAACTATTTTTAACTTAAAAATATTTTTGAAACGATACTTTACCATTTTGTAAAATTGATTTAGTGTAATTTGCAAAGCAAAGTGAAAAAAAAAGTTTTAAGTTTTATTCCTGTAATGCACTTAGGTTTTAGAATTTTCTTGCCCATCCCAAAACAGACATATTTTCTAAGAAATTCTCTTCCCAAAATAATATAATTATACACGTATTGTTTTTAACAAGATTTTTACAGCCTTTTGTTCCCACCATTTTATGTATTCATATCATATGGTTAGAACTATTCTAAGAAAGCACAGCTTTGAAAAAAAGCTATAGACAAAGTTTAAATACCACTGGGTAAAGAAGATTATAAATTATATATATCAATGTAGAGTGAGTAATGTAGTATAAGCAGTAACGTATGGTTTCATAGGAAAGTGACTAGATGGAGCTCTCAAAAGGATAAACAATGAAATCTAATGGAAAATTTAGAAGAATTAAGAACAAACCACAGATCTGGAGATGTTTTTCTAGTTTCCCTAAACATTTTATTCATTCCTGAAAATATATTTGCATTAGATCATATCTGATTTTACTATGGAAATTTTCTCCTATGACAAAACATCAAACAAGCTTAGATGGGTTTATCAAGTACAGTCAGTGGTGGCAATATATTCCTATGACTCAAATCCTCATTCACTGAATATTACTGTTAAGTTCATTGAATTCAAATAATACACATAAATAAAAGAAAAATAGTTATCTAGCCTGATAAAAATAATGGTGAGACCACTGTGAAAAGTCAGGTTATAGGTAACCAATAAATGTTTGTCAGTTTCGATTACATTTCATTTTTTTCTGATTTATAGCTGGAAGTGTATAGTTATCTAGCCTGATAAAAATAATGGTGAGACCACTGTGAAAAGTCAGGTTATAGGTAACCAATAAATGTTTGTCAGTTTCGATTACATTTCATTTTTTCTGATTTATAGCTGGAAGTGGTGACTATGGTAATCAACAAAATAAAATATCAAAAGCAGTATGTTAAGGAATGTCATCAAGTTTGAACTGAATATATAAAATGGAACTTTTTGATCAACAATAAAATAAAAACTAAAATTCTCAGATGAAAAAAAATATTTTTAATGTTTTTTTTTAAAACAATATCTCAACAAAATTTTGGAAAATTTATGATGTGAAAATAACAGAAAAATTAAATCACATTATATAAATGTTTTTAAGCTGAAACTAAATACTATTTATAAGTTTGTACTAACTTTCATGCAGTTTGTGAAAATGCAAACTTCAAGGTACATTAATGACACCTCACCAGTCCAGAAAGAGGGTTAAATATCTTTCATAGCTAAAAAATAAAAATTAGGCCAACAAAATCACACAAATACTGAACTTATCAAGCTTGGAATTATCTTATATAACAAAACTTAACAGAGAATAAGCACGATTACGAATCTTACAAGTAATATAAAATCACAAGAATAGTTCTGATCAAATAGTCCAGAGACAACTCTTGGACTTTTACTTACTTCACACAAAACATAAATTTCCTCAGTACACTGAGAATAATTATATTTTTATAATAATACATCATTCGTGTTATATACCACTTTTACTCACCAAATCACACTTACCATACAATAGGCTTAATCTGTTCTTGCTGAAACAATGTTGGTGTTTTTTAATGGCTCTAAAAAGCTATTTTTAAGAATTTCAGAATGTGGTCCTAAATAGCTCAAAACAAAAGCACTTGTCCAATACACCTTTATCCATCTCTAATTTTGACCTTTGTATTAAAAAAAAAAACACAATATCTTAGATACATGAAATTTTTCAGAAGTGAATTCTTTCAATACTAGAATGTACTGCAAGACAATTGATACCTGTAACTTTGAATCCAGTTCAGCATCACTGGCTATGATACAATCATCTTCTTTTTTTCCAAGCTTCCTGTACACTGCTTGCTTGGTAGCCCAGTACTGTTGCTGAACCCGTGTCAGGGTTGATGAATCTGAATGACTGATGTAGCGGTCATAGTGATTGCCATACACACCTCTTGTCCTGGAACTTATAAGCAAAAGAAAAAATAAAATTATATTAATAATGAATAAAAATATTTTCATTCTTCACAAGCTACTCTTACATATTCTCCTTCAAAACAAATGGGAATATTTTATGTGTTTTGCATAAAAAGATACATTTGTATTGTGTTAAGTAAAAGTCATGTAGCTCATTACAAATTTGTAAAAAATTAAATGAACATAAATGTTCAATAAAGGTAAAAACTTATAAAAAGTAAAGTAGCATTTTGGTGGTAAAAAACAAAATACAATGACAACACAAAATTAATACATCCCTATAGTTTCTACCAGGATTAGCAACAATATCTCTAGATGTACATAACAGGCATAACCAGGGATGGAAGTGGCAAAGAAATCTAAAATCATTGCAGTTTGAAACAGAAAATCAATGTTGTGCTGGACAATGAAGGAGATATGAATAGAACTTGAAAGTAAAACTTAACTAGAAGAAATGCACAAAAAAGACACATTCACCAACATTTAAGATAGGACATTAATATCCAAGTTATTAGAATCTATAACAGTAAGTCAAGAAAACGAAATCCCATTGTTCAAAATTATGACAAAACCAGCATGAGCCAACATAATAAATGATGAAAATGAAGGATGATTCAATGAATTAGGATACCATTCAGTATGACTGCCCCTTTTAGAAGGTAATTAGTCTGCCAGAACATTTATCACTCTGGGATATGCCAAAAACCTCAAAGTGATGGATAATATTTTTTGGATCCAGAACAAATAATCAATCATTTCACAACAGAGAATTTCAGACTGTGTGCCTCTAAGTCAATGTAATATTGAAAACCTAAACTATAATTGCTCAAAGTTCTAGCATAATTAGAGATGGTTCCAAGTTTTCCGGATAACAGACCTACAACAGAGCATCCTGCTGGGAAAGGTCAGATCGACCTGATTACCGAACAGAAAAAAAAGAAACTGTGTACTCATTAACATACAAATCTGTATTCGTAATAAGTAAATATGGAAATACAATTCTAAAACCCAAAGAAAAAAAATATAAAATTAGACAACTCAAAAATGATCATAATGCCAAGACATAACCATCCAAGCCAGGGAAAAACACAATGCACTAAGAAAAAATATGACCATGCAGAATCTGGAAATACGATGTAGACTTGAAAACAGGAAGCACAATAGGACTGCCGATTATTTGGTTAAAATTCTAATAGTGGGCATAGCCCATGTGACAAATCACATTAGCTTACCATATGAATGAGAATTTGTACAAGTGCCAGATGACAGGCTTTATACATGGAGAGCTAACAGAAATCAATGAAAATATCTAGAGGAGTTAATCTTGGTAAAAAGCTAGAAGAATAACAAAAGTTATGATAAGAATGAGGCATGATATCTTAATTAAAAGACAAATGAACATGAATTAGTTTTAAAAATAGTGTTTTTTTTTCTTCTTTTATACAGTACTCACTAAAAGTACCGATTCATCAGACAATATCAGATGAATGATTTTCACCGTGACCACATCCAAACAACTTTTCATGTTTTCACACTTTATAACAACTGTTTGACTGGTCATAGATGTAACCTGCAAGTTATGTGTGCAAAAATGCTGACTAATGTGTCGTGAGGAGCTGATTAAAGCAACTGTAGGCATGGGCCCTCACGGATTTCTACTAAACATGGCTCAGCGTGGGAGGTTAACATGTTAGTAAATCAACTGTTCTTACTATAAATGTAGCCTTCATCAGAAATCACATGAGAACAGTACATTGTGTTATACTTGAAGTAGCAATGCTGAACTAATAATCAGAAATTGGACAATCTAAAAAAGCTGCACCAACCTAATCCATTATTCCAAGAGAACAGTTTTTTTAACCAAATAACAATCATTACTATATCAACATATAAGATAATTAAGCCCTTTGACAGTGTGTTATGTAGTTTTACTCTTTTAACTCTTTCAGCACGGACCGACCTCGTAACCATTTTCTGTTTATTATGGTTTCTATGCTATAACGTTTAAATTAGTAAGTGAACGTTAACACAATTTGGCAGATTATCAGTAAACATTATAATGCTTTCATACGCAAAATATTAATTTTTTTTTTATTAAGTCTTAAGGTTTGTAAATCAATGTTTTTCTCGTGTCTTTTTTTTTTCTTTTCACATGTTGCCCATCTATCATGCAAAGTAATTTTCATTTTAAGATTAAAAATGCTTTTATGCATCAGAAAATTTTCAAATTTTACATGCTAAAGCCTTATAATGTCCAGATAGTTATCACAAATTTATTAAGAAAAAAGTTAATATTTTATCTATTATTTTCAGTAACGAATGTCTGTACGGGTCTGGTTGATTTCACTGATCTCGCAACCACCATAAAAAATTAGGAAATACATATAAATTATGTCTATTTCATTCTAGAATGAACACAAATTATAACACCAAAACATAAATGTTGAGACTAAATAGCTTAAATCTCAAAGTAACTTTTCTTGGCTTTGTATACAAGTATTTTGTAAAATACAGTCACATTTCAATTATTGTACATTATATATACAGATTTTTGCTATTTTGAAATATGTTCTTAAAGTTACTTAAAACACAGAACAACAACTAAAGAAGTCATGCAAACAATTATCTCTTCTAGTTAAGATCTTTGTACTCAGTTGTTGCTTGATGTAGGTTGCTAAGCCTTTAAAAAAAATTACATGTGGAGGATATGAAACAAACTTTTTAGGTTTTATATATTTTCATTTGAATAACTAAAAAATCATAAATTACTAAATTAATACCACAGAATTCCACTATAATTTATCAAACTTAGTAACTAAGATGTATTTTAGTCTAGAAAAATATGAAATTTCGAGCAAACTAAAGACATATCCTACCTTGTTGAAATTTGGTTCAAAAGAAAGAAATGGCGTCAACCTCATTAAAACGGCTGAGAAAGCCACTAGGTGGATATTCTGAACTTCCAATTGGTTATTCATGTCATATATAGAAGTAAGTGTATATAAGGGAGCATTTCCAAAAATTGAAAGAGGTGGGCAGGGTGCCACTGTGTTTGATTTATTACAAGCAATATCTCAGCAAATTGAAGAGATAAGAGCCTCTTATTTTATATTCTAGCTTGTCAATATCGGTAATTTGAGTTTCCAATTCGTACAAAACTATACTTATTATAACTATAATGTCGAGCAGTGATATTCACTTCTTTATATTAAAAGCACAATCTCCTTTTTTTGCATTGGAAATTTGGTATAAAAAATTTTACATAATAATAAATAATAGTTAAATTAATAACTAACTAACATATACATTATGTCATAAAAAAAAATAGTATGTTGCTGCTGAGCAGCTGCCTCCATGAAGTTAGTGGTTTGAAATTAGCAATGGTACCACACAATCTGGATTGTGCACTGATAAATGTGCTGCAACATGACTCCATAAGAAAAGGCAGGAGAGCCTGTGCTAAAACCTCTTCTGGCATGTTACCATAACCACTTTTTTTTTAGGAATGGCCACTACTAGAAGGCACTACATAGAGAAGTAAATGTAGATTTCAGAATATCTAAATGTAACAAGATATTATTAGGATAATAAGCAAAGCAATAAAAAACAGTGTTTATTACCAAAATGTATGGGGTCCTGTAATAGAGAAACTGATAACATAAATAAAAAAAACATGCATTAGATCACCACTGTGAGAATTTACTTATTGTCTTATGCAAGCTTCAAAGCAATAAGACATTTGATCAAATTTGCTGGTCTACTGGGAGTAGTTAATCAATGTTAGGTGGTATGCTTTCAACCAAATAATTGCCTTTGTGCCTTGATCACACTTTTATGTCTAACCCATGGTGTTGATAAATCAGTGTTGTAGTTGAGAAAAATAAAAATCACATGCATCAAACAAACTTTATTAACATCGTAATTTTACATGTTAACCCCACAATCGTTGTTTTAACATATCTGCCTATGAGAGAGAAAAAAAAAAAGTGAAAAATTAAAAAGTAATGAATGAAAAAATAAAGAAGGATAGCAAATAAAAGTAAAACCAGTATTGGTGCCAGTAAATTCTTTATGATCTCTGAAGCCAAACAGGATCACAGCAGATCTACTAGAAATTTTTGTCATACAAACTTGTAGTAAGCTTACATGTAATGCAATGTATGGTAGCAGTTAGTTTTGAATAGCACATTATAACCACAGATTGTAGTATGCAGGCAATATGGCAGTTGGTGACATAATAAAAAATATGAGATGCTACAAACATCATTAGAAAGGTGCAGTACCAAGGGGCTTTACTAGTAAAGCATCTGTGATGCTACACCTTGCCTCGTATGAACTGCTGCATAATCAATATTTAGTGCTTAATAATTGTGGGTAGGTGACTGGTCTAATACTGTTAAAACTGTTAAGTTTAGCCAGTCTCATTTTCAAAGCCCATAAAACATCAAGAATGAGACTCAGAGCATCCAGACCAAAACTTTTCAAAGGGTGGTCTTGAGACCTACAACAATGTAAATCATCAGTTATTATCATTAGCAAGAGCTTCATTTGATACTATGGTGCTATCAGTACAAACTTCTAAATCTGTTGCCATCTGTGCTATCCTAAGAATATTCCATCCTACTCTATAAAAATCAAAACAAATAAATAAATAAAAAATAGCAACAAAAAAAGGATGTGTATTCAGTGGTGAAGGATGGCCTAGGCCAGATCCAGACAAGAGGTCTAACTTTCTTGATTTCATGGCATACTACTACTGATAGTCGGTAACCAATTTCTACAAGATAGTAACACCACTGTCTTAGGCATGTATGCACTTACAAAACAGATAAATGTCAGTCAGTATACTTATTCCTAAAGTGTATTTTGGTTGAAGCATCAGATTTGACTTCTCCCCATTAAGAATGTTCTTTCATGCTGGATGTTGCAATCAGTGGCAGTGAAATACAGTGGTATTGTTACATTACACAATGGTATGGAGCATGTAAT